TCTCTCTCTCTCTCTCTCTCTCTCTCTCTCTCTCTCTCTCTCTCTCTCTCTCTCTACGGGGTTCCCTGTAATACTGTAATCATAGTATAATCATACTATAATGTTATATAAACAATATAACTTAAATTACGTATTATTTACTCATCAACTCGGTGTATCACGTAGAAAAAAAAACAAAAAATCCATGTATACCATGGCGCACCATGCGCGAAAGTGCGCTCGTCACGCACACGCCCCAGCGCACTGCGCACTGCGCATCAGTGCTCGCGCATCGCGCACGAGTGCGCGCACGGCACAGGTGCCCACCGCGCACCGCGCAGCGCACCGCATCGCGCACCGCACTGATGCGCCGCAAGTATGCATCAGACGCATCAATGCAAAATGCAGATGGGATAGATCGGGCGTTCGAGGTGGATTACGTGTGAGTTGAAGAGCCACTATATTTCTACCAAAATGGAGACTGCTGCTCAGGTCCTAGGTCCATACTTTTTGTTGGGTTCTAGGTTCTGACGGTAGGCCGAAAGGTCAAAATATGTTGTACCCAACCCACTCTTTATGTGGTTGTTTGAATCAATTAACTTAGATTCATTGACTTCAGTCAATGAATAACTGTCTTGACGCCAGCTTTGGCTGGATTTAGGCTCACCAGAGTTCAGATGCAAGAGGCAAATAACGGGAGTTGAACCCGTGTTTTCACATTCACAATCTGACACTTTGACCTACAGAGACGGGTAATCTGATGGTTGGACTAAAGGTCGTACACCCAGCTGTAAAGGGAGGGAGAAAGTGAAGCGTCATTTGGAGGCCGAGCCACGATGCCACCATTATGCTGATTGACATTTGCAGGAGTTGTCGATGTAGGAGAGAGGAGCCCAAATGATTCCAGTCCTTATCTGGCTTCCCGCTTATTTTTTTCCATATATGGCCCTGCTCCCACACTCTTGTGACTGAGGTTCTCTTTTACCTCGGATGTGTTGGCTTCCTTCTAGTCTTTCCTTCCATTTTTTGCTGTCCGAGGTTGTAAGGGCCATTATAAGTACAAAGCCTTCGGGGAGTTCTTTGCTAGTCCAAGATTGTTTCTTGCTTTTGGCTTTTTTGCCCCTCCTTTTTGCCTTGTCCTAGTCTTAAATAAATGACAGGAAGAGAGAATCCAAGTTCGAGGTTCCTTTTTAGCCATGGAATCAGAATATAGTCAGAGAGCTGTGCCAAATTCAGTCTTTATCTTCGTTCTTGTCTGATAAGCTCATCTTTAGCGAACTGTCAGTGCCTAGGAAGGCACCACTTCATCCACAGCTGGTCCGTTGGCCCAGTAGACATCCCTAGAACAAAAACATACCTTTTCCCTAAGATCTTCACCACCAGTTCACAGACCCCTACTATTCACCAAAATGCAGTACACTGCAACCGTGGCAAGATGAACAGTGATCCAGCATGGCACAGGTTCAGAGGGAAACGGCTGGTGCAGCCAAAACGAATGCACTGAAAACGAATCGGGGAAAAAAAGAAACGAGGAAAAACCGGGCAGTCTGGGCAGACAGGATGTGAGTCGCTACATAGATGTAATGACCCGCCAAAAACACAGACTGAGAACACTGCCGATTTCTGGGATTTGTCACTGGAATGGATGCCTTGTTGTGATTCCCGCATTCTGCTGTGGTTCCAAGTCTGTGTGTGTGCGTGCCTGCTGGTTGCATGCCTGTCTGAGTGCTTGCTGGTTGTGTGTGTGTGCGTACATGCCTGTCTGAGTGCTTGCCGGTTGGGTATGTGAGTGTTTGACCCGCAAGGGTACTTGTTGGTTGCAAGGCCCATCGGGCCGGTACTTACCTGTGGCCGTGACTCTGGAGGGTTGCAGGGGGGTAAACACGCCGGTAGAAGGAGGTAGGCCCACGGCACACTCGAGTAGCAGGTAGGCCGAGCAGAAGAAGACAAAAAGTTGGCATTTTAGAGGTCCAGTAGCGGTAGGTTGGGGGTAGGCCGGTACCAGTCCAAGTAGCCCGGGTCTAGGGCCTGTGCGGACAATAACAGAGCCTGCAATGATGTTCCCTCCAAAAGGGAGGAGGTACCGGTTGCCTGGGAGGCCGCTTGGCCTGGAAAGTCACCGCCCAGGAGGCCGGTAGGCCACTATATCTTCAGGAAGAGCGGAAGGCTCTTCCTCATTTGCGGTATGCAAGGATTGGCGACATGCTGCTGGAGCGCAGCGCTGCTTGGAGGTGAAGGTCCGCTGGGGCTCAGCCTGGCTATGGCGAACACCCCAGCTTGAGGAGGAGGAAGAAGGGGGCATGGTAGGAGAGTGGTAGGGCACTTACCTGGCTATGGTGGACACCGTCTTCATCACCTTGTTGGGCGCTGCATCTGGAAGGCCCCAGTTGGGGTAGCGCTGCACCAGGGCAGCTCGAGGCAGAGTCAGGCATAGCGGACCAAGTCAAGCAGCGACATAGCTGCTTTGGGTTGTCTTCTGGACAACTGGGCAGCACCATAGCTGCCACCCAGTAGTCCGCCATGGCCTATGCATGAGAGAGGAGGTTGAATGAGGGTAGACATAGCCATGGTGGACTTGTTGTTGTTGTTGTTGTTGT